TTTTAGCAAATTTCACGGCCCTACCTAAAATAATGACATGTTAGTCGCTCTAGGCGCGTATTTCGAATGGAAGTGTGTACCCTACAATGAAGGGGTAGGCGTAAAACACGCAGTACCCGGGATGGTCAAAGTGAACTGTGTTGTCCCCCTCCACCAACCACATATCGACGTAATCGGGGGTCCTCCACCTTTCTTTCAACTCTACAATCCCCCTTTCCCTCACGACGGAAGGGACAGGTTCTGGCTCCGCTCCACCGCTAAAGCTGAAGTCAGTCGCCTCTCTCCCCAGACGAGGCAAAATCTCAATCATTGAAGGAACCTCCTTATCCTCCGCCACATCCGCCCCTTCAGAGACCGGAACAGAACTTTTCGGTATCGGATTAGTGGTAGGAAGGTTATCGCGAGAAGAATCACCAGCCATTTTTTTTTGTTTTTAGCAGAAAACGCTCCAAAAAGAAGTAATAAGAAGAAGATTTGAGAGATTTCAGTGAGCAAGAAGGTAAGCAGAAATTCGAGATTTCAGAAAAAGCTATATGTGAAGAACTCTCTCAAGCGAAAGATGAAGTGAATCAATCAAATGACAAGTTCTCTCTATTTGTAAGAGACATAAATTCCCCGAGCACGAAACCCAAGAGTCGCCATTCGAATCTGATAGGGCATGAAATGTGTCAGTCTCCCAGAAGCGTGTGTCATAATAGTGATAACCATGAACCAACGCTTCAGTGCCAACCAACGCCTCGATTCCGAAACCGCCGCAACGGTCCATGAGGATCGAAAGAACACCACCCCTCCGCCAAAAACTCATAGAATGCGACTAAGGAATGGAAAGTTGTAGGCAAAATTTCTCTCGACTTCGTAACGAACGTGATCCGTCTGCCGAGTCCGACGTAAGACGACCCCGACAGACTGAGGGACTAACTGTATTGGTCAAAATCTGACCACCACGACCAGGCCGCCCGATACCCCGCCTCGATAACCAGGCAGTGAAAGTTAACGTAGCCCACTCTATTTTCTGCTCTAAGACGTCCGACAAATCGGAAAGAGCAACACCTAAAGTCAAAACCAAGGGACATTAGTGACAAGAAAGGGGTGAGTCAAGGGGCGAGTAAAAGGACCTCAACTATATATAGCCAAGAAAAGCTCTCAATGTGGGTGGGGGTGGTGGCTTCGCCATTCTCCTAAAAAAGAGGACAAAAAGCCTCTTTCTTGTATCTTAGGAAATGGGGGAATTGACCCCAAAGAATACATGTGAATCTGCTTTCTCATCAGTGGATGAGGAAGGCAATGTTTAATCTTAATGAGATCAATCATGTTTCTTTCATNTGTTTAATCTTAATGAGACCAATCATGTTTCTTTCGTCTCATATGCGTTCATTATCATTAACGTTTTGATCTGGAGTTAATTATGTTTGGCTAAGATTTGCCCCTTCATCTTTGATTGATTTGTTCAAAAAGGTTTTAACATCTTTTGAGTCAAACAATTACCACGATATCCTTTGAACTAATAACTTTTTTTTGGTATCTCACACGATATTTTGGTAGACTAAAGTTCGTGTGCCAAAAAATATATACCATATTTAAGGATAAAACGCTCTCTAACAAAAACTAACTACTCCATGCTCAAAAAGTAGCCACTAATAACTTTTGGCAATATCTCGAATTAAACTCGTTCATCCTTTCAAGGGCAACCCAAATCTCAGGACAATTCCAGATTCAAGCTATACTTCTTCCCTCCCTTCTCTTTCTTGTTATCTCTTCCTCTCCTTTTTATTTTTTGTTTTTTTTGATCCTTATAGCTTCGACCTCAAGTATCTTAGGAGACTTTGCTGCAACCATTCTTTTAAAACTTTCTTCCATAGCACATTATAATATGCACATAAATCAAACTACCATCTTTAAACTTGTGTTCACTCAAATAAGGTTGTACTATGAAATTGAACTAAAAGAATAATCTTTATTTAAATAATGGAGACTAAATATGTAGCTAGTAATTAGAGTCGTCAGAGAGAAGACTGAGTATATACGATCGGTCATATTGACGACACATGTTAGGGAGGATAGCGCCCTTACGGATGTCGAGATGATTATAAATTTTGACAGCAACCTTTACAAGGCGCCAGACTTTTCAGCAATATAATCTTATAAATTTTATGTTTATATTTATGAAGAAAGGAAACATAATCGTTAATAAGTTTAAAAGAATTAATGGAATCAACCAATTCTAGTCCAGTTCAGAGAACAATTCATCAAAGAACAATTCATCAAAGTACAGTAGACACTAGTACGAAAAATGTACCTATATATATATATATATATATATAGGAGTATATATATATATATATATATATATTACTTATAAGATACACGGACCACAAGCAAATTAATTTTTGCTTTACTGACGATTTTATTATATTTTACTTTTCTGATATTCTGACTCTGAACGTATTGTCTTTGGGCAAAACATTAAAGTATTGTTAGACAAATTAAAGTATTGTTTATAGGTTCAGTTTTATGTCGCTCAACTTTTATTTTATTGCATCAACGTTACCCGTGTACGTAATGGAAAACTCAGTAAGTTCACGTTAGCCATTACATGAAGTTGCTAAATTTTTATAACAAAATTTACTCAATTTTAATTACATATCACAGAAATAATATAAATGTCCATGTGACCATATCTCTTTGCTTTCTCCTACTGACTTTTTGTGATATTAAGGTAAAGTTAAGTGACTTTTTGAGTATGAATTTCTTTTTTCCATAATACTTAGGTAGAATTATTAAGTGACCTTTTTCATTACAAAAATTTATTTAGTGATGAGTTATCATCCATGAAGTTATTAAGTAAATGAAAACAGAGAGAGAGAGAAGGAATTAAATTCTCGTGGAAGAGAAATTAACTAAATAAGATAGATATTGTTCAATATATCAAGTCTCAAGATTGGATTGTAATACCAACCAACTGCTAAAGTACTTTCGTTACAAGACTCAAATAAAAAGAAACAGACAACAGATACATAGTAATGGATCCATAAGCAGAATAAAAAACTCGACCCATCTTCTTATTATGATTTCGCTACTTCCAGATTTGTTCGAAGAAAAAACTGATCTTTCATCAACCTCACTGGACCCTGCATCACCAAATTTAATCAACATTAATCAAGAACGGTATACCTAACATGTTATTACTTTATTTTTCAAGATTGATATGAAAAGCTACGTATTGTCGTAAATTGCATAATCTGATAGTGTAAAAGATAAATACAGGAATTAATAATGTACCCGGAGCAGTCTGTAGAGGGACTGATCTTGTATGGAATGTTAACACCACAAGCACTAGGGAGTCCAGAGGCTTTGCCCATAGTAATTCCCTTAATAGCATTAGCAGCTGATTTCAGGCAAGTGCATGCAGTTTTGCGGTCAGCTGGGGTGCGAGCATCACCCAACAGACCTTTAACACCGCCGCAGCAGCTCCCCAAAGGACCGCGGCCCTGCAAATAAGGGAGGCAAGGAGCCAGGCCAGAGTGAATCTGCATGGGCTGTAACCACCGCCATGCAGAGTAGCACAAAGCACGCAATCTTGCCAACCATTTTCACTTAAAAAATTATAGAAGTTAAAACAAAAGAGAGTTTGGTTCTATAACTGCATTACTAGTGGCAGAAAAAGTATATTTGATTATCATGGCTAATTAGACAAATGAGGACCAACAAAAGAGAATGATTAGTGTGAAGAAAAAGAAAAAAAATACTAGTATTATCTTCTTGTATACGTCTGTCTTTAGCACTTCACCAGCTAATTAGGCAATAACGGTTCAGAGATGGAAGCCAACATAATTTAGCAGTAAACAGAACACGTTATTATTAAACTCAATTTATAACAGTGAAATGAGTTAAGCAATTCACTAAACGATTTCAGGTGGAGTTTGTAGTTTTAGCAGAAGAGCTGCTTAATCAATATAATTTTTTTGCAAAACAAGTAAACTTTTTATGGAAGGTCAAAATTTTAAAACATTTTGGAAGAAATTCTTGGAAGCTAAAAATATCGGTATGAACAAATTTCGAATCCTCGAATGGCTGTGATAGAATTTAAAATTCTAATACGTAAAGTGTAAATCCTAGAGTCGCCTACTCTTACTGATCTCTTATTGTTTATTTTATCTGAATTCACAAGCAGGGGTAGGACCAGTGGCGGAGCCACATTGAACCAAGGGGTTTCAACCGATACCCTTTGTCGGAAATTTACAGCTAGATAATTTATTTTATTTTATGTATATTTACAATATGTTGATTCCCCTTGATTTTTCGATGTATCTAATTATTTATATTTTAACACCCTTTGATGAAAATTCTGGTCCACACCAGGACTCAAACAAATAGAGTTTCCAATATTACTCCCAACATTGTCACCACATATGAGTTGTTCGAAAAGCTCAAAATGATGCTCTTTGCCAACTTTCTGTATAAAATATTCTGCCCCAACCAATGCATTATATTACTTTAACTTCACTCCAAAAAATAATCCTCTAAAAACTCTCATGTCTCGTCATTCTGTTGCACTTACATTTATCCCTCCAATAACTTTGCCTTGCTTCATCGTGCAGTTAAGTTTTTCTCTGCTTCTCCATTGTGAATTAGTGCATATCCATCCTTTCAACATGCGATGGACAAAATCTGCAAAAAGAAAACTCTCTTTTCCCATAATCACAGCCATTATCTGTACTTTAACCTTCATTTTTCTGTTGTACACTGAGAGGATTAGTACTGTTTCTTCTGGCTCTATTTTGAGGTTTAAGCCTTGTCCCAAAAGAAATTTTGCAGGTGTGCACCAGCTTGTCGATCTCAATTGCTTTCGTTATACTTTTTCGTCGTGCTGATATATTTTTTCTTTCTTGGCTTAATAGATGATAGAGAATTGGAGAGCGATCAACTAGACAATCCAACAGACGATAGTCTTGTTTTTGATCCTGATGAATGCAGTGTCACACATGGGAAATGGATTTTTAATACTTCAATCAAGCCATTGTATTTAGACAGGACTTGTCCTTATATTGATAAACAATATTCTTGTATTAAGAATGGCCGAAACGATTCAAATTATCGATACTGGGAATGGCAGCCTGATAACTGCATGTTGCCAAGGTTAGCAAGTTACTTAAAATATCAATTTCAGTTTTCTGTTTCTGTAAGTAAATTACCATATTGCAAAATGAAAGAAATAGTAGGATTCTTGATTCTTGTTTCATGCATACTTGCACAAGTGAACTCAGGATTTAAAATCAGTGGGTTCAGAATGAGTGTGATCTTATTATATGTTACATTTTAAACTTATTTTTTTTCTGTATGTATACATAATTCGAGCTAAAACCAATCAGTTCAGTTAAAGAAACATGAACTGCCCTAGATCTGCCTCTGCATATAGTATTTGAACAGAAATATTGACAATAAAATGGAGATCTTTTTTCTTATAATGATGAAAGTAAGATAGTTCCGTGAAATGACTCAATAATCAGGTTTGATCCTGAGATTGCCCTAAGAAAGCTTCGAGGAAAGAGATTAATGTTTGTAGGGGATTCACTACAGAGAAATCAATGGGAATCTTTTGTATGTTTGATTGAATCTGTAATCCCAAAAGGCAAGAAATCCATGAAACGTGGCCGCGTTCACTCTGTATTCAAAGCTAAGGTAAATCAGCATATAACTCAAACTATATATAAACCTTGTCTGTTTGAAGTTTGAAAATCTGCTTAATTTGCACATATTTGGCAGGAATATGATGCTACAATTGAGTTCTATTGGGCTCCATTCTTGGTCGAGTCTAACACAGATATTCCAATTAAAAGTGATCCAAACCAGAGAATAATTAAAGTGGACTCCATTGCACAGCGTGCGAAACACTGGTTAGGAGCAGACATCCTTGTTTTCAATACTTATGTTTGGTGGATGAGTGGACTCAAGACCAAGGCACTGTAAGTTCTTCAATTATAACAGCGGAGCCAGAAATTTTAATAAGATGACACGGGCTAGTCAGTTTTCGGACTGATCGTTCAAAAATAGCCAGCATTTGCAAAGTTATTAAAAATAGCCACTATTTTGCTGCAACACGGAAAGCTCTAGTATATTATACTGGAATTCCAGTATATTATGCTGGAGTATTTTTCGCAGTGTTTTCGTTCAGATTCCATTGCCGCAAGTGAATTCAACAATTTTTTATATATATAAAAGAAAATCTTTTCACTTATATGCACAGTATAAGTTTTTGAAGAAAATGGATTAAATTGATTCCTTCAGACCATGTAGCGATCGTCTCTGTATAGAAGAATTTCTACTTGGCTTTGCATATAACGCTTTTAAATTGATCAAAAAATGCAGATGGGGCGAATTCAAAAATGGAGAAGAAGGTTATGAAGAATTAGATACAACAGTTTCTTACAGAATAGCATTAAGAACATGGGCAAATTGGATTGATTCAACAGTTGATCCTAAAAAAACACGGGTCTTTTTCACTACTATGTCTCCTTCACACCAGAAGTAAGTTATCATTGTTTACTCGTAAAATGATACAATTGAATTTATACGTGGTTTATAGACAAATGAATCGATTTGATCCTGGAACGTAAACTAACTCAAGCTTTTTATACATATATGTATTTCAGAAACAAAGAATGGGGGAACATAAATGGGATCAGGTGCTACAATGAGACAAGACCAGTAATGAAGAAGGGCTTCTGGGGAACTGGTTCAAACAAAGAGATGATGAATGTTGTGGCCAATATCATAGGAAGAATGAAGGTTCCTGTTACTGTTTTGAATATCACACAATTATCTGAGTATAGAATTGATGCACATACATCAATATATGGTGAATTGCAAGGCAAATTGTTAACAGCTGAGCAAAGAGCTGATCCTTTGCATTTTGCGGATTGTATACATTGGTGTTTGCCTGGAGTTCCTGATACTTGGAATCAGTTACTTTTTGCATATTTGTAGCCCAAATTATAATCCTAGACACACCGGAAATGATTTTTGTAAAGTTTTTCACCCCATAAACCAACAACACATGCAAATTACATGCAAGTATGTAACCACGCTGGTTGAAATATTGTCTCAATATGGCTTTATAATGGCATTCCAAGTTATTTATCGAGACTTGGATTGAGATGAGCTTAAATGGAGCGACCTGAACTGTGAGGAAACTGATACATATTGCTAACAGCCTAACACCAACTCAATTGGGTTTTAGTGTTTTTGCGTGTAGTTTATGGTTTGGGTCTAATGGTTAGCGCTTTGAAGTTTTTTGAAAAAGCTTGTTTTTTGAAAAAGCTTTATGACAAAATTAATGAATCCAGGACAAAAAAACTTCAGCTATTTTAGTGCTGAAGTTTTTACAAATGAACTAAATAACTTTAACATCTTATCCAGGACAAAAAAAGCTTCAGCGTATTGTCTTTGCTACTTCAGGCCCGTCTACTAGAATGCTGGAATTTTGCGTGATTGCCTTTGCTATTTCAGCCCCGTATGCTGAAGTTACAAGAAAAAGTGGGTACGCTTGCAATTTTTTTTGCAAAGCAGACACAAGTTAAAACGTGACCCAAAAAACGGGTGTACATGCATATCCCCCTTTAAATGTTACTACTAGAGACAGGCCGTTTGGTTATACATTATTTTCAAATAAAGATTTATTTTATAATTTGTTTATTATTTCAACTTCAACTTGAAATAGAGAATTTGAAATTGAAAAATGAATTTGAGGAGTATTTTAACTGAAATAATGAATTTTACTTGCGGAACATCAACTTTTAAAAAAACGTAAATTCGTATCGAATCACAACTTTGACATTATATCTTTAAGTAATTATTTTTGTCAAATTCACTCGAATATTGTCCAAACGAGAAAAAGGGTTAATAACCCGTTAAAATGGTCAAATTATATTGATGGTGTAAAAAAAGTTTTATATTATTACATTAAAGTTAACTTATCAATAGCTAGTTTTTAAGTTAGTTAAAGACTATAAAAATTTGTATACTATCACTATATTAAACTCTGAAAAGAAAAAAGAAAATCATTTTCAGATACTTGATAATTAGAAAATAAATAAGGAAAACAAGAAGGAAGAAGGAACATGCAGAAACGACATTAAGTAGTCACTCTAAAGGGCTGCTATTTAAGAATTAGTCATTGTGTTCTAAATTTTAATTTTTCAGGTTAAATTTTCGAGATAATAACATCTCTTAGAATGACTATCAATGCACTTGGCCCAGAAGATAGAGACGACTCAGATGGATCAAGACTCCAAGCCCATATATGAAAGCCCATCGATATTGGGCCTCCTACCCCTCATAAAAAGCCTTATGAATGCATTGCTTTTCCCCACAACCAAAAAGAGTTCATCTCCTCTCATGTTTCCGATATTGAACTGAAATTCAAAAATAATCAGATTTACAAGTGGTAATTCAAATATAGTCACAATTTCAAAAGTAATCGAAATTTAAATCACTTTTTATTTAAAAATAAATATGAGCGAAAATATTGTTCAGAATCTAAAAAATATTGCAGCATAATATACTGAAGTTCGAATTTTTTATAACATGTGAACTTACAGCATAATACACTGGAGTTCCAGCATAATATGCTGGAAGTTCATACATAGGTGCCCCAATCTCCAGCATATTATGCTGGAACTTTCCGTGTTGCAGCAAAGTAACAGTTATTTTTCAATAACTTTACAAACCCTAGCTATTTTTTCATTATCAATCCGAAAACTAACTAGCCCGTGCTATTTTCAGTCTTCCTGAGGTATCTCGAATCTTCGGGAACTCGTGATCCTAATTTAGCTGATACCTTATTTCTCAAGGTAACAATCTCATCGTACCTCGTCCATTTATTCACTGACGTTTTAGTTGTTCATCCTTTCAAGGGCAACCCAAATCTCACGACAATTCCAGATTCAAGCTACACTTCTTCCCTCCCTTCTCTTTCTTGTTATCTCTCCTCTCTTTTTTGTTTTTAGATCCTTATAGTATTGACCTCAGTATCTTAGAAGACTTTGTTGCAACCTTTCTTTTGAAATAACTTTCTTCCGTAACACATTATAATATGCATATAAATCAAACTACCATCTTTAAACTTGTGCTGACTCAAATAAGGTTGTACTATGAAATTGAACTAAAAGTATAATATTTATTTAAATAATGGATACCTAGTAATTAGAGTCTCTAGTGTGAAGACTGATATATACTTTCATATTGACGATACAATGTTAGGGAGAATAGCGCCCTTACGGATGTTGAGATGATTAGAAATTTTGACAGCAGCCTTTACACAGCGCCAGACTTTTCAGCAATCTAAATTATATATATATATATATATATATATATTACTTAGAGGATACACGTGTAGATAACCACAAGATTGAGAAGGAATTGTATAGAAGAATAGTGTGTTTTCTCATGTATTACAAAGCCATAAGTGACTGAATTTATACAAGTCACAAAACAACTAAAAACTAGGCTAAATGATAACTACTACAAATGATTTAGAGTTCTACTACATGTATGACTATTACATTGAGTTAAGTACAAACTCTACAATGCAATCTAACTATCCTTATCTCGTTCAAGCTTATCCTTATCATAATCAACTTCTTCAACACTTACCCTCAAGCTAGTGAGGGGTGTAGTTACCACTCCTAGCTTGCTTCAAAAACCTGCAAACATCTGCTTAGTCAATGCCTTAGTATGAATGTCAACTAGCTGGTCTTTTGATCTAACAAACCTTGTAACAAGCTAATCACTAGCAACCTTTTCTCTAACAAAATGATAGTCCATTTCAACATACTTTCTAGCGTGCATTACCGAATTGACTATTATACATAGTGCACTCAAGTTATCACAAAAAAAAGTTGGTGCAGTTTTTAAGTGAACCCCAATGTCATTGAGAATGTAGGTTATCCATGTCATTTCAACTGTTGTCGAGGCTAGCGCTCTATACTCAGCTTCTGCACTAGACCTTGCCACTGTGTGTTGCTTCTTGGATATCCAAGATACGCAGTTAGCTCCTAGGTAGACATTGTATCATGTAGTTGATCTCCTAGTCATACGACACCCTCCCCAGTCTGCATCAGAGAAACCATATAACCTGAATGGTGACTGAGACAAGATTCTTAGACCATACTCAGTTGTGCCCTTCACATACCTAAGGATCCTTTTTACAGCTTGGTAATGAGTGTTGTTTGGACTTTACATGAACTGACTTGCTAAATTTACTGCATGAGCTATGTCTGGCCTTGTGAGAGTCAAATAATGCAGACTACCAACAATACTTCTGTATAGTGAAACATCAACTGGATTATCCACAGCTTCTTGTAGACCATGCTTCTGTGCTAGAGGTGTGCTTATTGGCTTAGCAAGTGCCATGCTAGTCTTGGAAAGTAATTCTGCAGTATACTTACTCTGATTCAGATGAATGCCTCCAGTAAAGTAGGTGACCTCAATACCTAAGAAGAAGTGCAAAGGGCCAAGGTCCTTCATAGCAAACTCCTTACCTAGTTTATCAGTGATTTCTGAAATTAGTGTAGTGTGACTCCTGGTGACAATTATATCATCAACATACAGAAGGAGTAGGACTATGCCTTATTTACAATGCATCACAGAGAGTGAGGAGTCTGCCTTAATGCACTTAAACCCAAGGTGGAGCAAGTGTAAACTGAACTTGTCAAACCAGGCTCTAGGTGCTTGCTTAAGGCCATACAATGCTTTCTTTAGATGGCACATGCAGTCAGGATGTCAAGGATATTTAAAACATGGTGTCTGACTCATGTACACCTCCTCCGGTAGATGTCCATGCAGAAATGCATTCTTTACATCTAGTTGCCTGATACACCAGTGAAGACTCACATCTATTGAAAGAACTACTCTTTTAGGGGTTGCTTTATACTAGTCTACTTCATCATGAAGTTTTCTTTATGTCTCGAAGAGAGTTGAGCTGATACGAGACTGAAATTCAAGGGCTTACCGAGGAGAAAAATTCTCTCAGGCTTCTCGACGAGCAAATGGAAAAAGAGACCAAAGGCCTCCGAGCTGAGCTGGCCATGGCCCAGAAAGAACAAAGTGAACTGGCCGAGCAAGTAAATAAAGTCTTAGACATTTATGGCCTCGATTTGGGAGTGATGGATAATCCTTCGATCTCAGAGGTCCAGTGGCTGCACGAAATGATCAAGCAACTCCGAGGAGAGGTGGATGAGGTGAAGGCGGAGACTGCAGTGTGGAAGCAAAAAATGAACCGTCTTGCCTTAGAGAAAGAGACTGTTCGAGCTCAGTTATCCTCAATCAAAAGCCAACTCCAAGGCATGAAAGAGAAGAACTTGGAACAAGCCAAGAAAATTCAGGAGCTACAGGCTCGGTTGGACACGAAGCTTGTAGTGGCAAAATCTGAGGTTGAGACAACTAAGGCCGATGTTGAGGTGATCGTGGTTGTCTACCGATATCACGCCGAGGCCACTCAAGCTCGAGCAAAAGAGGTTGTCTATGCTTCTCAGACTCAAGCATACTGGGTTGCCGAGCATGTCAAGTGCCAGTCTCGAAGAGAGACTCTTGAGGAGATTCATGCTCGTAGCTTTAACCTTGCTATCGAGATCGAGAATGCGAAAGAGCTTGAGGTTGAAGCCAAAGTGTTTCTCTCTTTTGATGATGATAATTCCAGGAGAGGGAGTGGATCTGAGAGCGGAGAAGATCCCGACAGCGAGGATGTAGCTCCCGAGGAAAATTAGGTACTTAGGAATTTTCTTTTTTGAATTTTTGTGTAGGATCCTGATCGGTCCTTGTAAATTGTTTCCTATATATAAAAGATCTCTCCTTTCTATTTCATCCATGTCTTGAAAGCTTTCATAAATATGAGGTTTGGACAATTTAATCGAAGTCGAACTAGTGTAGTGTTTATAATCGAGCAAGTATTTACTCGAACTCGAAGTTGGATGACCCTTAGGTTTTAGTTAAGTGAGGATGACTTCTCGAATTCAAAAAATGGAACGGCCCTTAGGCTTTAGAATTAGGCTGATATGGCCTTAAAAGAATGGCTCTTTTCCCTTTTCGGCTTAAAAAAATTAATCATATAAAAAATTTGTTATGCCCTAGCATGAAATAAGATTGTTCGAGAGCTCGAATGACCCGGTCCCCTTTATGGTTTTTAGGGAGGTGATGTTATCCAAACCCTTTATAATTTTGCCGAGGGTAGCCTTTTTAACCTGTTTTGTGAAGATATTAGAAGGCTTGTTTTTGTTACAGGATTCAGACGTCTCCGAACCATGTTAGTTTGGATGTAGCCTTTAAGTCGGGGTTTTTCCCTTGGGATCATTTCTCGATTACACTTTGAACTTGTTCGAAGTGTTAGTACCTGAGTGGGGTGGCCTTGGCCTATTAAAATGAGGGTTGTCTTTTTAAGGTGTTATGATCTCGAGATTTTAGTAGTTCGATTACATCGATTTTTCGGACGGCAGTCCCCGATTGCGGGGTAAGTTGTTTGAACTTCAGTTGTGATCGGCCTTTAAGCCTATTTTCACAATAGATCAAAAGTATGAAATCGTAAAGTAAAAATTTCTTTAAGGCAAGAATATTTGGTAAGGAAAAACACTTCTCTCAATAGATTATACATGCGTGCATGTTTGCCTTTAGGGCTCGAGTGATCTAAATGGGCACGGTTTGTTTGATCGTTTGTCCCTTACAAAGTTTTACCTATCGAGACCCTGTTGACACGAAGTACCTTCCTTGTAACAAAGTTAACATCCGAGGGTGATTCCCCCCAGTATTCGAGGTTGATTGTAAAGAAGCCTCAGATACTGTTGAGTTTCTCTAAGTTAGCACGAACAAATGGGTGCCTCATTAAAAACCTCGCTAGAAAAACCCATTTGGGATAAAAATCGGTCTAAGAGAAAAAGAGTGCAACATGTGCTTTCAAACCTAAGGACTTTGTGATGAAGAATTCTTTGATATCTTCGGTTTAATAGTTGTAATTGCTTAGTATAAAATGTAAATAAAAATGGAGAAGGTCGTACCTTAGCAGTAGTATCGTTTAAGAAGTGATACGTTCCAATTGTTTGGTAATTGTTCGCCATCCATCGCGCTAAGTTTGTAGGATCCCTTTCCGATGATATCGAGGACCTGATACGGTTGTTATACCCCATTTTAACACGGGTCAATTCAGAGTATAACATATTGGTAATTCTGAGGTTGAATTAATTAAAGAGAGTCGCCACCTAATTATTTTGACGGTGAATTAGGACACCAATTTTAGCAGTGCTTAAAGTTAACTCTATTCTATGGTCTACTTAACCTTCAAGACTACGGGTAAGGGTTCTAATTGATCTTATAGAGAAGGTATTAAGTACTCTATATGACCCATTAAATATGGTTAACCGGCCAAACTTAGGTTAATTGATAAAAAATATTACGCTAAAGTATCAATGTATAGCTAACTATATAACTTGATAGAAAACAAGAGAGTATTCGATTTCAGCATTGGCTAACTTCTGTGGAACTTAACTACTTATATATCTTAAGGAAAATGTTTAAGTCCCTTAAGAAAGCTGACGATTTGAGGAAAATATTTTATAGATCAGTTTTAACATGATGAAAGCAATAATTTAAAATAATTCTCAAAGGAAGAACACTTGGAGACAAGTTTTCCTACTTGGTAAAGAAAAGCAATTTTCATTTGAACTTTTAGAAAACACTCAGCATTTTAATTATATAAAATCTCAACTTGATGATGTTAGAAAGGATGTTAACGAGATCTTTTGAAAAACTTCATTTTAATGACTTGTGAAAGTGTCAAATTACTATTTTTGAAGTTTAGAAGTCTAGGTAAACGCTATATGATAAAATAGGTACCCTGTTTGCTAGCTAAAGAAGAGATAATTAAATAAACTAAATCTTCAAACCCATGTTAAGCGTGAGATAAACACAAATACCAAATAAACCAGGAGACATCAAGAAATTAAATAAAACAATCGTAAAATAAAGAGAAGATAAGAAAGACGTCATAGGCGCCCCCAAGCATTTCGCTTGTTTTCTTGCTATCGGGTGCACTCTAAGGAAGATGCCATGTGATGACTCCATGCTCGAGAATGGGAGAGTCTGGCATTAAGACTCCATATTTTGGTCCAAATACATATGCAAAAGAAATAAACAAGCCAAGAATTAGGAAGAGGAAAAAATCTATTTTTTTCTTTAATGCTAAAGAGCAGAGGTTAATAATAAGTAGAATCACTTCAAGTAATATTGATGTTCAAATTATCTAAATAAGTTATTAGCACACTCATAACTTATCATCTCATATTACTACCGTCATTCATGCTATCATGAAACTAATATTACCCATATATAATAGATAATACTAAAATGCATGGGCAACTATGTGACTCAAAAATTATATTAAATTTCAAGTATAAACCCCTTTAATTCTTAAGTTAAGCAACGACGTCAATAATTATAAAAGGATCTATAATCGTATACCAACATTTCACAATAACATGCGTTTCCGTTAGCTAAAGTCTATATCATTATGAGAACTTCTAAATTCTATGGACATAGCTTCTAATTAACCAATTTATACAGTAAGATTAAGCTAATATCCATAAATTCCCAAATGGTAATATAAACACTTATTTCACAAAAGAAATACTCTACGGAAGCAAACACTATCCAGATCATATAGGATGAATTATTAACGTAAATATAACTCATACTTACTAGAAGACAACCATGAAGAGGGCAACTAATGCACTAATATATTCATATGACCATCGACACTTTATTTTACTTAATTAAGAGATAATTAAAAAAATAGTATTGCATGATTTCATATATGAATGAATTTACAATGGAAAATAAACTGGAGACAAGATTTTTAAAACAAACAAACAAACATTTCAGATCTTCAAATACAGGAAAGCCGAGAAGAAAGATTTCGAAGTTACTGACCTTTTTATGGGTAGTGAATGGGGCGTCGTCAAGAGGATCTCCGGCTTTGGCTTAGCTCTTTCAGAAGAGAGTCAAATGCGTACACCAAAAAAATAATAAAAGCTTTGACAATGCTATAGACTAAATAGAGGTAAAAAAGCAGAGAAAACTTAAAGCTGAATTTTAAGAGAGTAAGGAAGAAGATAAGCTTTGAATAGTTAGCCACCGAAGGGAGATAGAA